AAAAAAAAAAAAAAAAAAGCATAAAAGCTAATATCTGAAAGTGTTCTCCAGCGTATTTACAACTGTAAATATTAGACAATTACAAAATAAAACTCTCACTTCGGTGTTTTAGTAATGAGATCCTTATGGGCCATTAATATACATTGGTATAATACCAGTGCAACTAGGATATTTTCTGTTTTATTAAATGATTTATGTTTGATTCATTTCCATATGGCATCTGTGTTATATACACCAATCGTATTTAATGAAGTTGATTAGGAGACCATATGTAATAAGATTTAAGTTCTCCTTAATATGATTTCACAAACATGATGACTTGGGCAGTAACTTTTCCTATACACGTAAAGAGAGGGCTCTAGCTTTTGAAAAGATTAGGAAACACTATCTTTGATGACTAAATCTAATTAAATACTGAAGGCCCTGTAAAGATTACTGTCGCCTCTAGAAGGAATTGCTGTATGGTATTATTTGAGGTATCCTGTTGGTGCTGGAGTTTTGATCATGTAGTATACATGCTCAGTAAACCAGAATCCTCTTTAGTATTCTGATTTAAGAAATGCTAAAAAGAAAATTATAAAAAATACACCATCCAATTTATTTTCTTTAACCAGAAGAAAGCTGTAACATTTGTCCACAAAACACAATTCCAGTAAAAAAATTCTTACTGAGATGCTGCTCCTGCCATTTTTACACAAGAACACTCAAAGCTTGCAATATCCTCATTTAGTACTATATCTGTAAGTCATAGTTACTAAATAAGGTTTGGTTATTATAGTCCATGTAGATTACCCCAGTACAGCTCTGAAAACACAAATTCTGATTCTACTTGCAGGTAAGGGGTTGGGTAAGATGGAAAAGAGAGAAATAGGAAAGGAGATACTAAATGGACTCAAATATTGAGTTTCTAAACTCTTAAAAAAAAAAAAAGGTCTAGTAATAGCTTGAGACATCTGACTTATCAGAAGTGTTCCAGAAATAAGGCTTTTAGAGAAACATCACACAGGTGATCTCTTTGACCCTAATCCCTGGAGTATAGGCATATATGGGCATAGGAATTACAGAACTGGTTTAAGCATGAAGAATACATAAAAAATCGAGTCTGGTCAACAGGATATGTAGCTCACTGTGTAACAGTAATGACCTTAACAATGTGATAGCTAACACTGAGCATTAACTCTGTGCCAGCCACTGTACCTTACATGCATTACCTCATTATTCGACACTTTAAGGTAGGTGCCACTGCTGCCCCATTTTATAGATGAGAAACTAAGGTGCAAAGAAATAAGGTAATTTGTCCAAGGACTTGCAGTTCATTGATGGGGAACCTGGATTAAGGCAATGTGATTCTAGATCCAGTACACATAAGTATTACCCAAAATAAAGGCTCTTAGAACCTAGAATCCAACTACATATGTGCATATGTCTAAAACAGAAGGATAATTATTACAAACACTAAAAGTTCTTTAAAATCATAGGAAGAGAAATTCTCCCCCAATTATGTTATGGCCTTAATATGCCTAGAAGAGTCATGGTTGCTGATATTAGTGACTTAAGTTCACCTGATGATTAAAACCATGACACAGTTAATAACGACTGCTATTGGATATTTTAAACATAAGAGAAGCCAAAAACAAAGAAGATGTGGGGGGGATAGATCACCCCTTATTTTCGATCAATATGCTACCATATTAAAATTAAATGATCACTGAAATTTACACTAAAATAGAATGATTAGTTACTGGAATAAATGCTATAAAATTGTGAGAGCTCCACAGCAAAATAAAAACAGTCCAAACACAAGTTTTATAACCAAAAAAACTCCAGAAAATTTAAAATAACTGAAAAACACCAAAGATTAAGTGGAGATAAATCAATAAAGAGGGACCCCTTTATTATACATTTATAAAATTGTAGTATAATGTAGTTATTAAAAATGGGTGGCGTTTTTTTATTTTTGGTATTTTGTGTTCAATTTTTCCATCAGCTTCACAATCTTTCATAATTTGCTTTTTATTATCCAAAGGAATCTCTGGAAACTTCTATCCCACCATTCAAAGTACAATTGAAGAATAAACTATCTAGTAGATTCTGGTAAGAGACATTATCAGAGAAATTAAATTAACAACTCATGACTAAAGATAGAGAGTTTTCAAAGAAATACAATAAAAACAGAAACATGAAGCATAATTTAATCTTTCTGATGATTCAGAAGGCATTTCCAGATTGTGCTGTGCCATTTCCCTCATGCTGTGTATTTAGATGGCTACAACAGAATTCTGTTTAGCAGAATTTTGAACAACAAAACTTCATATGTAGTTCACATCAAATAACTACAGATACAACATGGGATCTTGATGTGTATATTTGTACTTAACCTGTGTTAAATGTATAACATACTAAGAAAACTTAAAAAAAAATTAGTTACAAAATAAGTATTTTAGCACATTTAGTAATTGCTACTTGTTTTAAAATATCATTTCATTTTTGGTGACCAAACTATTTTAGACCATAATTAAAGAACATACAACTTTAAAATAATGTTACAAAAAACATGGTTACAACAGAACTATTTGTTACATTAAGTGAAGAAAAGATAGTCACATACATATATTGAAGGATACTGAGGT